ACGAGGCATGAACAGACTTGACCTGACATGAACAGACTTGACGTGGCATGAACAGACTAGACCCACCGACAGCAGGTTACAACATCAATACACGACGAAGACTATGGGAACATGATGGCTACTTATAGCAAACAAGTGTCACATGACATGAACAAGCCAATGGGAAACAAGACACATGACTAAGACAACCAATCAGAACATGACACAATGAACAAGAGAACCAATGGCATGAATACATGAGGGCAAGGGAAGCATGACACTCCTCCACATAGTCCTCAATAGGCCTGTCACCTTGACGAAGGCAGAGGAGGCGTGAAACTGCTGGGTTCATTATTGGGTGGTCGTGTATTCTGTAACGAATTAGTCCACTGAAGGCGAGTTGAAGTGAGAACCCAAGTGCAGTTTATTTACAGAGTGATCCAAACAATATCCAAACAAGATACACAGACTTGACTTGACGAGGCATGAACAGACTTGACGTGGCATGAACAGACTAGACGTGGCATGAACAGACTAGACTCACCTACAGCAGGTTACATCAATACACGACGAAGACTATGGGAACATGATGGCTACTTATAGCAAACAAGAAGGGTCACATGACATGAACAAACCAATGGGAAACAAGACACATGCCTAAGACAACCAATCAGAACATGACACAATGAACAAGAGAACCAATGGCAAGAATACAAGAGGGCAAGGGAAGCATGACACAAACAGGGACCAAACTACAAAATAAAAGACATGAAAACATGAACAAGAAACACAACCCAAAACACCACATTACACCAGTCAAAAGGTTTTGATCAGTATGTTTTTAAAAGAAGTCTCTTCTGCTCACCACGCCTGCATTTATTTGATCCAAAATACAGCAAAAATAGCAATATTGTGAAATATTTTATTTATAGAGACTGATTTCTATTTGAATATATTTTAAAATTATAAAAAATATTTTTTATAAACAAAAAAAAAAATATATATATTTTTGTGATTTCAAAGCTGAATTTTCAGCATCATTACGCCAGTCTTCAGTGTCACACGATCCTTCAGAAATCATTCTAACGTAAAGGCTATATACAGAAAAAAAGGGGCCAAAATCACACCTTTTGGGGTACAACAGCTTGTCACTGGAGCAGTACTCTTAAAAAGACATATTTGTTCATTTTTTACCCCTAATAGGTATGCCTACTCCCTGGTCTATTATCAGCTTACTAACTTCATTTTGCCACTGCTCTGAGGCTCATCATGACCACAGCGCTGAGTTCAAGCTCACTTGTTTGTGGGGCTAGTCATGAGATTCTGAATATGGTACACACTCACACACTCCCTCTCACATAAACACACACACACTCAGTCAGTCCTGTGGGAGTCTCAGTTAAAGAGCTCTTCACAATTCCCCTCTGTCTGCTTTTCTGCAACTGATTTCCTCAAACAATCTGGTGTTTCTCTCCATCTCTCTTTCCTTCATGGCCTGAGGTCACATCAGCCTGGGATTTGAGGCTCAAGTGGTAACCGTTCCTATCTCACCCAACCATATGTCACGCATCTCACCTCGAAAGAATACCTCTCCCTCTCTTCTCTCCACCACACTCTCAGATTCCCTCATTCAAGCTGAGAGTCAGTGATTCTCTGAGAGAAAGGGCCTTTTCAATGAGTTTACTAATGGGCATGTGCTCTCATAAGCCAGTCAAGTGACTGCAGGCCCACTGAGGTTGATTATAGACAGCTGGTTGAGAACAGTGCCTGTTTCCGTCAGTAATAATATAAAGGGCCTGCTGCTGATTTTCCAACATTCCGGTGGACAGACATACACATCACATACAGGAAACTGATAAATATTGCAGCAAAGATACAAATTCTTAAGCTAGATTTCATTCTTAATACTGATCAGTGTCTAATGCTGTCATGCTCATTCAAAAGACTCATAGTAACTGAAGAAAGCAGCTTAATGAACTTACTGAATTGTGTCAGTGTTTTACTTAAAGAAAATAAAATATTTTAGCTGAAAAACTTTTACATTGTTTCACAAATGAGTCCAAATTTGTTTATTCAAAGAGTAAATGGTATTAGATGGCGTTTATCAATTTTCATTTAGAATACAAAGAACCTTGTAGCCAATAAATTTGTTTTGTTTTGGTCTTAGAGATTTCATATTTCAGTATTTTTTAATCAGTATTTTTTGTTTTGTTAATGCGGAGTATAGAAATAGATAATTTCTGTAATAATAATAATGATAATGTAAAAAGTTGAACAAAATAAATTTTTAAACAGTTGCAAAGTTCCAAAGGTCATAAAAATCATAAAATCAATAACTAAAATCATCATTATTAAACATAAAATAAGTATTAAATATTACTGAATTACTGTTTTTATCCTTATTATTATTAAATGTTTGTAAAACATAACCATCCTTGTACCTGACAATGTAAGATAAAACACAGTCAATGACAATTTCAGTAACCTCTGCTGGTCCATTACAGCTACAAACACAGATGTGCAGACTGCCCTTCATTTAAAAGTTCCCAATTAAAAACAATGTCATGGCGTAAGTGTCAATGCAAGGTGAATGCACATGCAGCTGTTGTACTGCGGCGGGATACAGACCAACAAGCGTTTTGTTTGCTATATTTTCCATAACATACTGGGGGACTTGGATGTGAGGGCTTTCAGAACAGAAGATAAATCAACATTTTGGCTTGCTGATTTGTTGCTCTGAGGAGCACACACACACACACACACACACTGTCCTGTAGCTGGAAAACATCTACAACCCCTCTGGTTCCAACTTTGTTTCATCTTCCACCAAGAACAAAGCTAAGTCTTATCCTATTTCCCTTATTTGTTCTCTCTCTTCTCTTGGCTTTGTTTCTACCTCCAATGTTTGAGCCATCTTCTTACCTGTTTGAGATCTATTTAATCTCTACTTCAAAATGTAAAAAAAAAAAAAAAAAAGTAAAAACTTAACCGGTCACATCAGCAAGCCATCAATTAGCATTAAGATTATTTTACCTTCATCCGTCTTCACAGACTCCGCTTATGCCCCCTTTTGAATGTTTATTTAAACTCACCACAATGCCAACACACAACAGGTGATGAGTCTGACCTGCTGGCTCCTTTGAAAACTGATTCGAAGACTGTGATCTAAAATACAACCTTGAAACTTGTCCCCGATCTGTGCCATGACTTCATCACAATGCACACAGAATCTTAAAAAAAAAAAAAGAAAACAGAAAAGTAGGGGGAGCACGATCAGATAATCAACCAACTTGGCACAGGTGTAACTCGTTTAGCTAACCATCCTAACTAGCACAAAATGTGTGTATATATATATATATATATATGCAGCCTACCTACCTCTGTCCTACGGCAGTTTTCCGGCATCCCTCCTCCACCCAAACTCCTCACTCCTAATCTATTTTCATCCCATATTAGGGATAGGGGGAGTTCTCTGGGTTCGGGCTATATTCCGGGCTCGGAGCCCTCCCCCAGGACAGCACGCGAAAATATGCTTACTATTTGCTATCAGATTAGATGTAAGGGTGAACTCGTGAAATGGTTTTAACAGGGAATAAACAGGCATAATTACACAACCATAATGTAATTATGTTTTGGCGCAAAACTTTTCCTGTCTTTTAACTTTAACAAAATTAAAATTTTGGACCTTGTTCAGAACATTATGCATATGGATTATGATATATGATGCCCTTTTCAATTGCTTTTTGCAAGTTTTATCTCATCCCTTTTTTAGCATCAAGTATTTCTAATCTAGACACACCTCCTTTCTATGTAAATAAACCTCATTACAGTTACACCTCATTCACAAAACTTGTCAGATCATAGTAGTCTGCTGCAACCCCAACAACTCAGAACTGGCCTGTAATGCACAGTCATGCACAGTCAACTCAACACTCATCTTTTTTTGGTTGTGTTTTCATTGCTTTTCTGATTTGCATAATTCTCTCCAGTGCTAAAACAAAGTAAACAACATGTGTAAACGAAGGACGCTATCAGCTGGTACAATTCATTCATGGCAAATTATTCGCAAAGTGTACTAATACTGATTTCTGTTGATTATCAATAGCCTTGCTGTCTTTTGACTCTTATGTGCTTGTTATGCTGTCGGCAATGTTTTCACAGCTGGTTATTCCAGATCTAGTAAAACATATTGCATATCTCACATTCAGAGTTGTACCACACCGCCATCACCTACTGTCAAACAAATCTCTGGTATGGCAGCACTTAGAAATCAACACATCACAGCAGTTTTGGGAACAACCAAAGGTCCACAAAATGGTTTGATGTTTCAGTTGTTTCACTATACCTTCTTGTGATACCGCACATACTATTGATATTCACATAGTGAACATGACAGACAGGAGTACATAACAGAGTTAGTTTTTATTAATATACTGTTCAAATGTTTTACTTTTAATTTATTTTTTTCTCTCTATCTCTCTTTTTAAAGTATTAATACATACTTTCATTCAGCAATGCATTAAATTGTGACAGTAAAGACAGAAAGATTTCCATTTCTTTCAAACTTTCTATACAGAATCTTTTTAAAAAATGTATCACGGTTTCCACAAAAATATTAATCAGCACAACTGTTTTCAACACTGATAATAAAGAAATGTTTCTTGAGCACCAAATCTGCATATTAGAATGATTTCCAAAGGACCACGTGACAATGAAGTCTGGAATAATGAAAATTCAGCTTTATCATAACAGGAATAAATCATATATCATTCATACCTTACAAAACTATCACACACACAAATAAACCACACATCTGATGCCACACACATGCTTGCATGCCATTGCCAACACACACAAACCACACATGCTTATTTCTGTTCCACACGGTGTGAGAAATTCAGAGCAGTCTGCTCTTCTAAATGTCACCAATCCACATCCAAACACACCCATTTGATAACTTTCATGTCACAGCTTGCGCTGACACTCATTCAGTATAGTGCACAAAACTACAAAATACTTACGAATAGATATGGGTGATGTGTCAGATTTACTTTCAGTAGAGTCTACGCTAGGTGCTTGTGCTGTGGAGCTGGCCATTACAGACATGTGAAGCAATATATGCCGGTGAGATTGAGGGGGACAGCTGTGGGAGAGTGTTCTCAGGGATGATGAGATGTCTGTAGAAAAAGAGAGAGGGCAATTGCTTCACTCCAATGTGCTCTCAGGAAACAGAGTGAGGAAATAGCAGGAGAGTGTCTTTTATGGTCCAAGATAAAGCACATAACAGATTACATCATCCAAATCCAATGTGAATACTGAAAAATATTTGCACTTGGTTTTCTAATGTTAACCATTATTTACATAAGCTGCACTGCATGTTTAGATTATCATTAAGACATTAATTATCATGTTTATTTAGCAAGTTTTACTTTGACTGATACTGACAGTTGTAGGTGATTTCAGGTTAAATATCTCTATAATGTAAACAAAACCTGACTCCCAAACAGTGCTTTTCCTATTAGACCATATAAAGAGAATGTGACAAGATGCCACATCTCTAGCCAGCAATGTCGATCTGAGGCTTGTGTGGCTTTCTAGCTATTTTATAAATCTATGTTATGAAGTTCCTTCAAATTTCTGGAAAAAGCTCTGTTTTGTGACACAATGGGGTTGATAACTTCCTACTGGCTTTTGACTAGGTCAGAGGAGCATATTAAAATAATTGGAAGGGACAAATCAGAGGTGAATTTTAAAGTTGCAATTATTATTTTACATGTACATCACTGTAAATCAGTAAAGTTAATCTGTGCTTTTTAAAGTGGATGCATGAATCTACTATCTTTCAGATGTCATTGAGTCAATGGTGGATACCGGCTCACCACCCCCACAATATGTGCAGTCCACTTCTCTATTGCTTATTGGTTTTTATAACAGTTTGGGTCAGTAAGACTTTTTTCTTCTATTGAGCAAGGTTATAAATTGATAAAAAGGGACAGTAAATGCATTTATGATGTTGGAAACTATTTATATTTTAAATAAATGCTGTTATTTAAACATCTGTCATGCTGGTTTTGGGGTTTTGTTTCTTGTTTAGGTTTTCTTGTCTTTTATTTTGTATTCTCTCCACTGCCATCAGGTGACTATGTAATAATTTAAACAGGTCTGTTGATATAGCAACTGAAATATTCATAATTCAACTGAACTGAATTGAGAGCTTATGAATCAGAATGAAATCAAATTAGGAAGTCATTGCCTTTACCCAGTTGGTCAGCTCTAAACAATATGTTTAGGTGCTCTACTCAGCTGTATATCTGCTGTAGATGTTGATGTGTACACAATATAGTGCTGTGTGACACATTCAATTAAACTCCATTGGCCTTATTTAGCCTTTGTTGACTTTTCTGGCAGTTACTAAACAAAGGAAGAGGCCTTTTAAGACCCTGGGCCTTATCACTCGCTGTGAAACAAAGGAAACACTCACACTATTTCCTTCTCTCATCAGCACAGTGTCCACACCCTGTACTTCCTTCCTGAAATCCAGTGATGGATTTCTTTTATTTATATATATATCAAAAGTATCATACACTGACATTCCCATGTTTTTAGTTTGTAATATTTGCAGGACAAGAGGGCTAGAAACTTTTTGCAGTTTGGATGCTGTCATTTTTAAAAGATGGGTTTGACAAGGCCACTAATTTATAAACTTGTTTGACTTTGAAATTGTGTCAATGTTTATTCCTGCAGCTGAAGGAGGAGCTCTCATAAATGTTATATGTGATGATGGAAAACAAGTTCTCACTCTCACTCTCTAATTTAAGATCACTTTTATTTACTTCCCTCATCACGACTCAGTGCTAGAATTTAATTTTAGCTCTCTATTATTTAAAAACAGCACTGTTAATGTCAGCTGTGCTCAAATATAAGCTTTGTGTACCAGCATGACTGGCTTTTACTCTAATATTTACACTTGAAGCTTTTATACAAGCCTCAGGCAACAGGACATGCTAGTCCCTGCTTGAGTAGCAAAGCAATTTCAATCTAACAGTTTAAAGGTCATTTACTAATTTTTCAGTATCATGTCTCAGTCTCTATACTAAAATATGTATTGTCAGATTCAAACACAAATTCAAAAGAAAATGGTTTCTTATGATCTGCAGATTAGAGATAACTATCAATAGTGTCTACATATGAATGTCTTTACAAAACTAAGATATTGGACTGTATAGTGAGGAAAAAGCAGCCAACATGTGCCCAACGTACATGTGAAGGAGCCAAGACCATTTAAAAGCATCCCAGTTGGCACCTCATGAAATTGGTTAACAGAATGACCAGAGTGTGCAGAATCAAGGCAAAAGGTGGCAACTATGAAGAAGCTAATATATAAGAAAGTTTTGGGTAGTAATACAGAATGATTTGTACAAAAATAAAAGGGTTAAAAAAATAATGATTATATCATCTTTTATGTAATTCCAAGGACTTTCTTTCTTCTGAGCAACATAAAAGAAAAAAATCTGATGAATGTTTTTTTTTTTCCGTCCATACAACCAAAGCCAATGGTGTTTTCCAAAATATATTCCAGTGTTTTTATAAAAGAACGTTATACAGGTTTGGAATGACAGGAGGTTTAGTAAATGATGACATAATTTTAATTTTTGTGTGAACTACCCTATAAGATAAATATAATTCAAAGAGTTGTCAAGGAGTCTGCTATTAATGAATTAGGGAAAAAATATAATAAATATATAATATAAGTATAAGTGAAATATACTTCTCAGTGTGTTTTGAGTATAATGGAGTACGTGTGCAACTTAAATTAGCAGGGCAGATGCACTTACAACTCTTTGGGGTTATTTGCTGACCTGGCATGTTTCATCTCTGTCACTCAACACATTTAAACTACACACAACCCTCTGGAGGACCACACTCTCTTTTAGATACAAACGAAAGCCACAGTTGTAGATATAAAGTTAAAATGTATTCTGATGGGAGAAAGGTTGGGCAGATGTAAATAGTAGAAAACCTCTTGGACAGTTAAAGAATAGTACTTGTCACCATCTAAAAAAAATCTTTTAACAATAACGTACCATGCTTTATAACTTACATTTAAATCTACAAAGCAGCGCGATTTATGACAGCAAGCTTTATTTTAAATACAGAAGTCAAATCTAACTCACCAACTTTTCTTCAAAAGTTCTGCAACAAGTTCTTCCACAGCCTGCAAGCTGTTCTGCTGTCCTTTTTCTAGGAACAGAAATACTTCCTCTGCTCAGGCTGAGTTGTTCTTTCACTTTCTAACAGGATGGAAATATTATCATGAATCATATCAGAGGCCTGTTAAGTTTAAATGTATAGCACGTGAACTTCCCCTTTCAGCCCACTCCACCCTTAACATTCTGCTTTACTAATAGTTTGTTGTGTTCGACCAATGGCTGGGCAGACTCCTCCCCCTGAGTAAAGCACAACTACACAGACTCCTCCTCTGGAATAACACACAGATGTTGTCAGACTGAGCTCAGGGAAGGGGGAAGACAGCTTGGCTAAAGACAGACGCAGACAGCAATAGTTATGCAAGGGAAATGGTGCACTTGTGAAATATGCAGTTGTGAAATAGCTAATTCTGTTTATTAATATGTTAAACAAACTATTTGTATTAATAATAGCTTTTTTTTGTTATTAATATTTTCTGTGGGACTGTCAATTCATTAAAAAAATCTAACAAAATAATAATTATGTAAAATGCAATTAATGAATCATTATTTGCTGTGAAAAGCCCACATATTAAAGGGGTCATATGATGCGATTTAAATTTTTCCTTTCTCTTTGGAGTGTTACAAGCTCTTAAAGAAGCTCTTATCTGCATAAAGAAGATCTGTAAAGTTGCAAAGACTAAAGTCTCAAATCCAAAGAGATCTTCTTTATAAAAGTTAAGAGTCAGCCACACCTACCTAAAACGGCTCGTTCTAACACGCCCCCACATACCTACGTCACGATCTGGGAAGATTTGCATAACGCCGCCCAAATGTTCACGCAAAGAAAGAAGGCGTAACTTTTATTCTCGCTGTAGTTTTGTTGTTTCCGCCGCCATGTCGTAAAGACGCTGTGTGCTTCATTGTGAAAGCGAAACTACTTTGTTTAGTCTTCCAAAAGAGGATGATATCTGCTTCGTCATGCCTGGAGCTCATCCGTGCTGGTCGCTGAGGAAATACATCAACTTAGTGCTGTGGATCGCCG